GGAAGGAAGGAAGGAGGGAAGGAAGGAGGGAAGGAAGGAAGGAAAGCATAGAGAATTTAATGATACTGTAATAGTGTTATATGCTAACAGATGGTAGTTATACTTGGGATGAACATAGCATAATGTATAAGCCTGTCTAATCACTATATTGTACACCTGAAACTAATGTAACATTGTGTGTCAACTACACTCAAATAAAAAACAAATTAATAAAAATGGAATAAAGGAACCTCAAGCAGCCACAAGTTTGTACTAGGGCTCCCCCTGCTGGACATTTACTACAATTGCACTTCTGATTCAGTTAACGTTTCAGACTTGATTTAGTCAAAATTATTTTTTTTTCTTTACAATAATTAACGAATCCAAGGGTATACTTATTTTTATTCTTTTAGGAAAATAAAATATTACAGAACTAAACATAGTCATAATAAGAGTCTCCACCCTTTTTCAGTTGTCACTGCCTTTTCTAGAAGTAACCACTGGTAGCAATTTGGAGCTCGTCTCCTTAGACCGTTTCATCACTGACATCCATTATCACGCACACACAGAAACACGTAGTTTTCCTTTGCTTTTCACGACTGGGTTCATGTTCTAGGCACTGATTTGTCACAACTTAAACTTTTCCTGTCCACATGAGGTTGTGCTGGAGGGCAATTTTTATGCAAAGAAAAAACACTATTTGCAATTACTTTTGTTTTAAAAATTAATTCTAGCTATTAAGCTTATAAATTCAAACACCTTATTTCTCCAAACATTTTTCTAGTTGACTCACGAGTCATATTTTTCTGTTTAAAAACCTAGGCGGGGGGCGCCTGGTGGGCTCAGTACACAACTCTGGATGTCGAGGTCATGAGTTCAAGCCTCACATTGGGTCTAAAGCTTACTTTTAAAACAAAATAAAAAAACCTAGGGACCTCTGATAATAACTTTTTTTTTTTAAGTAATCTTGGGGTGCCTGGGTGGCTCAGTCAGCTGGGCGTCTGACTTCGGCTCAGGTCATGACCTCATGGTGCATGGGTTCGAGCCCTGCATCAGGCTCTGTGTGGACAGCTCAGAGCCTGGAGCCTGCTTCCGATTCTGTGTCTCCCTCTCTCTCTGCCCCTCCCTTGCTCATGCTCTCTCTCTCTCTCTCTCTCTCTCTCAAAAATAAATAATTAATTTTTTTTAATAAATTAATAAATTAAAAAATAAAAAGTGATCTCTGTGCCCAACATGGGGCTCGAACTCACTATCCCAACATCCAAAGTCACATACTCTACAGATTAAGCCAGCCAGGTGCCTCTGACAATACGTTTTAAGGGGATTTCATACCTAATCAAATTTCCTTGAATATTTTTAACTCAGGTTATTTTAGACTAAATTATTTTAAACTTATCTTTTTTAAATGTTACATTTTTTTAAATACTTCAAGTGACTTTAAATGAGCAACACCTTCTCAAACACTTGATTCTAGTAAATCTAATAAAGGTATAAAATTTCATCTTAATTCTGTTAAACATTCCAATTTTGGCTAAAAACTTAGTAGAATCTCATAACTTTCAACATTAAAAAACCCAAGTCTACAACCAGTTATTTAATAGTTACATACATATTTGGAATCACAGGGCTATTTTTATATGCTAAATTCTCTTAAAATGCTGCAAATTTAATTAAATACCAAAAAATGCAAGTTCTTCCTAAACTTACCACAAAACTATTTTTTTTTTAATGTTGATTTATCTTGGAGAGAGAAAGACAGAGCTCAAGGAAGGGAGGGGCAAAGAGAGAGGGAGACAGAATCCTAAGCAAGCTCCAGGCTCTGAGCCGTCAGCACAGACCCTGACATGGGGCTCAAACCCATGAACCACGAGATCATGACCTGAGCCATAGTCGAATGTTCAACCAACCTAGCCACCCAGGCGCCCCAACTTTCCACAAAACTATTAATAATATGAGTTGGATTTATATTAACAGCTATATATTCCGTTTTAAACCTTTGTAGATTAAAAGTCCTTTGTTCCACTATTCCAAAGCAAGTTGAGCTTGGATTTCCCACTTCTGTGTCCTAGGGTGTGTGGGCGGAAGAGGGACAATGCATTTTGGAGAATTCCGACCAAGATGAGACTTTTGATGTTTCTCCTTGACCTCAATTGATACAAGGAGTCCTTATTTCAATAACATAAGTATGTCTGTTTTCTCATTTCCTCACCAATCCTGTATTGTCATTGTGCTGAATTTTTGGCCAATACTGGAGTCTACAAGATTGTTTTCTACATATTTTTTCATGAGAAATTGTTCATGAGAATTTCTCCATATTGCTGTATGATTATCCTATCACTGTTTCCCCCACCCAGCTTTACGGAGATATAATCTACATAGAATGTCTACATTCTATTCCAGTAAATGTAACCCTTTGATGTAACCATTCACTTCTCATTGGATATCTATCTCTGATTCAGTATTATAAAGAATGCTTTGATGAACATCTCTGAGCATAGAGGTTGTGCCCACATTCTGAATCGTTTCTTTAGAAGAGGGTACCAGAAGTACCCTAAGGTCTGACTTAAGGTCAAAGATTATGAATATTTTTATAATGCCTGATACATATTGTCAAATTTTTCTCCCAAAGCAATTTACAAACTTATAATGGCATCAAGCATTTAATAACATCTTTAAAATATTTTTTCCGCTGTATGTCAAAGACATTGTGGTGAAAATTGCACCTCATGAAATCTGTATCTCATTTGGGGCACCTGGGTGGCTCAGTCGGTTGAGCAT